GCGGGCACAGGTGACAGGTCTACCAGTTCCACAGACCTTGTGTGCGTGTCCGTGTGTGTGTGTGTGTGCTAAATGTTGGGGTATTCACGTGGGGAGACAGACATACAGACGACATGAAGAACAAATAGGCAGGGATTGCACATGAAGAGCTCGAAACAGACCGACAAGCGTGGATCTTTGGTGGGGTTTACCATATATACATATATATATATATATACATACATACGTCTATATATATATATACATATTAAATATGTATATACCGTGAATTCCTGCGAAATATGCAGCTAGAAACAATGCAAACACAGCTTTTGGCAGAGAACGCTTCTATCTCTTCGGATGCTTGCGTGCTCTCAACAATTGGCTACCTAGAAAAGCAGTGGTCCCGGACAAAAGAAGCCAGAACCCAAAACTGCGGATGCCCCACGGCCCCACCAGAAAGCACGCTGGCCTCAGTCACAATCGCACTCAGCGGCACGTGCCCCTGCACACGTAATTCGCAACAGCACTCGGAGGACACCTCTTTCACCAATGCTTGCCTTTTCTGTGATCAATGAAAGACGGACATGAGAACAGGGCATCACGGGGTTGGCTACAGCTTGCGAGCCCGGTATGAGGCCAGAAGGGCTCACAGCACCGGAGGAACTAGACCGCATCATAAAACACAAGCGTCGAAAAGCCACCATCTGAAGCGGAGCTTCGAGAACAGCAGGTGCTTTGTCCGCATGGACCTAACCTTCCTACTCCATCTGCGAGGTGATACGCAGGAAGGGTGAATGCAGAAAGGCCTCTGCGGCAAGCATGGTAATTTCCTCTCGCACTCCTGGACTCTCACACGGATCAGGAGATGGCCTTGACCCCCAAGTAATAAAGGTCGTTCAAAATATCGCCGGCGTCGTTTCTCATTGCTGCACCTTGGCAGGTGCTGGTTCCGCGGAGTGTACTGCATGAGCATGCAATCCGGCCTCCAAAGACCCATCCGCCAAAAGGGCTCGTACTAGAAGCAAAGGCAATGCGAGCATCTGGACCACGGTCCGCGACTGCTTGGACTTGAACCCAATCTGAAGCCTGCTCAGGCATCACTAATTCACGCTACTTCTTGCGGCGTGGACAGGAATCTGCAAGCCACGCCTGTAAATCCCAGTACCACAAGTCATCCAACCAGCTCCCGCTCGCACTGCCACCGAAAACCCACAAATGGCCAAGTGCATCCTTGGTTGCCCTTTCAGCTTTCAGCCCCTGTAAAGCTTGCAATGGACGCTGAACATGCCACGGAGGACCTTGCATTCCTCTCGAACGTTCAGGTTTCGTGTTTAGGTGGGTTTCAGTATGGCTCGAAGAATTAGACACGTTCTTTTTCGGTTTTGGTTGGGAGTTCTGCGTGTTTTCTGTTGCCCAGCCGCTCCCGCTGGGGTGCTTTGCGCATGTCCTAGTATTTACACAGCATCTGCTGGTCTCCGGGAGACCCGGATTCATAGTGAATTAAAATTAAAATACATGGCAGCAGTGCTTCGGGGAAAAGATTGTGGCGAGATCCCGAATCGCGCCAGCACGTGGGCAAAACTATTTTGGCCGGAAGCCTTGGGCGCTGCATCCTGCTCTTGAATCCCGCCAATGCTTGAGGGAATGTGCCTGAGATCTGGGCAACGAAAGCTGGAGCAAGGTCGGAATAGTATAATAACAAGGGAACAACACGAGCAGGGCTAGGTTTCCGATCTGAACGACCGCATCAGTTCATACATCTAAAAACTCTCGCGTGGCAACAACCTGTAGAGCAGCAGAAAAGGCGTTCGAGATCAGCGCAGATTCGGTGTGCATTTTGTCGTTCGGTGTGCATTTTGTCGTTCTTGACAAATTAACACAATGCCTGAAAGAGCCGCCGAGAGGGGGGGAGTTGGGGGTCTTGCGGTGGGGGTGAAACCGTAATTCTAGACCGTCAGAAGCAACAGTCCTGTCATGTACTTTCAGCAATGGCATGGCAGTACATCCGTAAATGCGCCCTTTATGTCTCAAGTGGTTTCAAGACACTATCCTTTCCACGTAGCAGCAAAACCAACTGTGTTGTCCGCGTGCAAGGGCAAGCCTTTAGATCCATCAGGGATCTTACCTGCACCCATTCCTTCCACCGAAGGGGGGGATGTTCGGGGGCAGCTTTTGGTAGTGGAGCCTGTGTTGGGCTCGCCCCCTCGCCTAACACCGCCACAACGGTTCGCTCGGCCAATCGCTTCCCTAGGCGAGTGCCGAGGATTGCCGAGGTTGCACGATGTCTTCACATTCCAATCAAAATGGCAACAGCCCCTCCTCCGGAGGATACTCAGAGGACGAACCCTCTCAAGGGCCAGCGTCTTATGCCTTAAGCCAGCATGTGGAACGAGCGAAAAGATGCTCAGCAGCCATCTCGGCATTACACCGAAAGTCCAGTCTTGAACCAATGCGGCATCAGAGCATGCCAAGGAGACCACCAGACCGGAGGACCAGGGAAGCCAAAAACAAACCGAGATCCCAAAAAACGACCTGACATAATCGTTAAAATTTTGCCGCTCGTTTCGGTATGTCCTAGCAGCGTCCAGGAAGCACGCGTGTTCGTAACGCGCAGAAGGCCCAGAGGAACTTGAACTCGCCAAGGTCCACTTCCTCTCCTAGGCCACTTCGCTGTGAAGCTTCCTGAACTGAACCGCAAGCAGTCAGGCCTAAAGGAAGCATCCGGCCTCGGGATCGAAAAACCAGAGGTCTCTCAAATAGCCGCTTGATGTGACACTTGATGTGCCTGCATTTGAATCACTGCATCACGCTTTCAAAACTCCCGCGCCAACATGCATAGCCCCAAACTGGCCGCGGGGGAGGCCATGTGCCATCAGGACACTGGACAAAACACACCCATGTCTGAGCCCCAGAGCCTCCATAGCCTCCAAAGATCCAGAAGCGGCCCCAGGCATCTACGGCAGAAGCGTGCCCATGTCGAGCGGGCGGCCCAGAGCCCGAATCAATCAGAGTCCAGCCCGCCTGAGCGTGTTTGTTTAACACATCAGGAGGCAAGTGAGAGGGGGGCATACGCATCCCATCACCCGATGGACGATGTCATTTGATGAAAGCGGCTATGCCGGAAGCGATTTCAGCGCACAATTGGTCCTTTTGTCAATGTACTCTCGACGACCTCCCCCCCGTTCCCCTTAGGCTTATGCAGTGCTGCCGTGGCAGACGATGTTGCGAATGTATCGGGATCTTTGGACCGTGCAAAGCATCCGAGTAGAGGTTCTAGCCAGGACCCTAAACCCTTAAACCACTTAAACCCCTTAAAACCCTTAAAACCCTAAACCCCGCATGTCTGCGGACCTTTGCTTCTTCCCGGCCTCCAGCTCAAAGTACCAGAGGTCATTCAGCAACTCCAAATCCAGACCTAGGCCTCGAGTGTCAGTGAAGAAAACGAGCGTGCACCAGGGTTTAGGTGTCAGGGTTTGGGGTTTAGGGTTTGGGGTTTAGAAAGCTCTTTCCAGATGTGTAGGCCGCTTGACTCTAAGATTGGAGTTACTCAGGCACCAATAGGCATTCATGCACATGCGTGTTGTACTGTTGATGATATAAATAAATCCTGCACTACCTTAAGGACCCTAAACTATGGGAATTACGGTATGTTCCTTATTTATGGGTAATGCAGGATTTGTATCATCAACCCTAGTTGCAATGCTGAAGCTCCCCACGGCGCGGACCTCCAAAGACCCAGAACCGCCCGGAGGAGGACACGCCGGAGGAATGGGCTCTTCGTGCGAGTGGTCGCGACCGCCACCAGGGGATCTCTGGTGATTTCCATACGTCGGCCTTGCGCAGACATGAACAGTTTAGGGTTTAGGGTTTGGGGGTTAGGGTTTGGAGTTTCGGAGGTGTGAGGGTTGAGACTCAAGACATCCCCGGCTGGCTCCCCTCACAATACATGAGCTTCATTCAATTTTCACCTGCACAGCTCGGCAAGTTGTGAATGCCGCGGGAGGAGCACTATGTTGTAGATCTTGTTGGCAAGGCAAAAAACTTTCAGCTGGTATCAATGGGGAAGTGAGCTCGAGCCCACTTTTGTCCTTCTACCGAGACCTTTAACCAAGGCATGACTTGACTGAGCCAGGCATTTTGCGGGCAGTCTGTAACACACAGCCACACACACATGCATGATAGAGAACGGTATGCTGCTTCCAGATCAGGGCGTAGCTGCAATCCCACTCTGAGGTTGTTTGTTTGAAGTTTGGGCCCTCGCAAGACGATGCCTTATTAATCCTCGTTGAGCGTACACATGCAACGTTTGATGCAGGCAAGGAATTCATGGGATACTTGGCAAGTCAGGATTGCAGCCTGAAGGCATCCGGTGTTGGGTGTAGGGTTGAGCATGCAAGGGACTTGATGACTATTGGGGCACCACCTTCCGGCCGTCCTTTTCTCCCAGAAGCTCATCAGCGTCTGAGTTAAGTAACAGTAATGAAAATAACGACAATAACAACAACAATGATGATGATATTAGTAACAATCACCATAACAACAATAATAGCAATAATAGTGAATGATGGTATTAATATTTCCCCACATCTTTGTGTGGGGTTCTTACTTGTTACTGCTTGGCGTCCGCGCCTTCTCCTCCTCCTTCTCCTCCTCCTCCTTCTTTCTCCTCCTTCTCCTCCTCCTCCTTCTTTCTCCTCCTTCTCCTCCCGCTCCCGCTCCTCCTTCTCCTCCTACTCATCACTCACTCACACTCACCACTCTTACTCACTCACCACACTCACCACACTCACCACTCTCACACTCACACCACTCACTCACCACACTCACCACACTCACCACAACCACACTCACACCACTCACTCACCACATTCACCCACACTCACCCACACTCACACTCACACCACTCACTCACCACACTCACCACACTGACTCACCCCACTCACTCACCACACTCACACTCACACACCGGGCCTGTAGGAGGATGCAACAGGCCGGCCCATGCCGGGCCTGTAGGAGGCTGTAAGAGGCCGGCCCGACCCCGAGCGCACACGTACACACACAAACACACACACACACAGTCACACACATACACACACCCCAGACAGACGGACACACACTTACTTTGCACACTACCGACATTTGCTTTCGTGGCACCGGTTGGTCGGAGAGCCACGGGAGCCTGGCCGGCAGCATGTTGGCCTGCAGTGCGCAATCCGAGATGGAGAACCGCAGAGGGCTGGCCGGACGCAGAACAGTCTGACCGGCAACAGTTCATGCGTGATCTACATGTTTTCTGCTTTGCTGGCGCATCAGCCTTGCTCCGGCTCGCAGCGACAGCACAGGCTTAGAGAGTATCGCGTGATCTACATGTTTTCGGCTCTGCTGGCGCATCATCCTTGCTTCCTTGCTCCGGCCCGCAGCGACATGTTTAGAGAGCAACAGAAGCATGGCCGTTGCTCAGCCGCAACACTTTTTGGCCACTCGCGTGCGCCGAGTTTGGGGACTTCCTGGGCCGGCTCACCCGCCCGCTAGCGTGTTACGCCGCCTGGGAGCTGCGAATCCAGACTCGCGGCTGCCGAGATGCATGGGCTTGGTGGTGCTACAGGGTGCCTGATCTGAGCGCGTATGTCAATGGGGTCTTGGACATATTGTACGAGTATCCGGAACCCTCGTCGCTTCCGTGGACCACAAGGGCATCTCCA